CCCGGAGTGGGGGTGGCTCTTCGCCCCTGCCGCCAGCCCTGTGCCACCGCCACCCCTGCCCGAGGATAACACAGGTGAGTGTTAATAGTTTTTAATAGCTATAAATATAGTAACTCTTAATAAAAAGATTTCATATAATTATTAATAGGTATTAATGCTCAGGGGGAGTTCTGGGGAGGGAAAGCATTTGCGTTTGGGGCATGCAGCTGCTGATCACTGCCTGGTGCAGATGGCATCGTCCCCATCCTGGACGTCAGCATCTACTACCGGGGGAAGCTCTTCCACCAGGAGGAGGTGGGGGGCAGGCAGTGCCTGCTGGTGTACCAGCCCTCCGACCCCGCGGTGGCCCAGCGCCCAGGGCACCTGGTGCGCTTCCCCAGCCCTGCCGAGCTGGCTGACAGCAAGCAGCGGCGTTACACTGAGGAGCTGCTGGGCAGCGTGGGGCTGCAGCTGGAGCAACGCGCCCGCAAGCTCTTTGCCACCCGCCTGAAGAAGTGCAAGGTCTTCTGGGCCCTGTCCCAGCAGCTCGAGGGCATCGGGGACCCCCCGGCCAATCTGCTCTGCCGAGACAAGGAAACCCCCATCTTTGACTTCAATGAGTTTTGCACAGGTGGGCAGAATTGCCTCATTTCCCCCCTTCCCTCCGGATTTTGGGGCTCATGGGAGCCAGCTCCAGGGTGTCACAAGCACCTGACCCCTAGCTCAACCCAAAACTGAGCCCTGTCTCCCCTTGCAGAGTTGAGGGACTTCCGCAACAGACAGAGGCAGCGCTCCCCTGACTTCACCATCTACCTCTGCTTCGGGCAGTCCTTCTCCAAGGCCAAGCCTAAGGAGTCCAAGCTCATCCTGGTCAAGGTGCAGGGGCCAACACCCACCACTGCCCCTCTGGTCCCCAGGGAGGCGGAGACTTCTGGGGGCAAGGAAGGGATGGGTACTGGATGCCCAAGGAGAGGGACCCTGGAGTTCCATGGGAGATGGGGTTATGGGTGCCTGAGAAGGGGGGGCCCTTGGGGTCTAGGGGAGATTGTGGTCTGGGTGCCTGAGGAGGGGAACTCTTGAAGCTAGGGGGTGAAGATGGGGCTCTGAGAGCCTGGGGAGGGGGACCCTCAGTGTCTGGGGGTGATGCATGGGTGCCTAAGGAGGGGATACTGTGGGGGGTGGGAGAGATGGGGGAAATGAGTGACAAGGAAGGTGGAAGACCCTTGGAGACCAGGGGAGATGAGGGAGGCTGAGTGCCCAAGGAGTGGAAGCTTCAGGGGCTCAAGAATGGGGAGAAAGGCTGGGTGCCCAAAGAGGGAAACCCTTGGGGAGCAGGGGAAATACGGGGGGGAGGTGCCTGTGGAGGGAGACCCTGGCCAGGAGTCCAGGGAGAGCGACCCTAGACAGGAAGCAGCTGCCTGGGTCAGGAGAACAGTGGGGCTGGGCAGGATGGCATGGAGGCACCTACCCAGGGCTGGGGAGCTATCGGGTACCCTGCACCCCTCCTTCCTCCACTCCAGGAGGACAGGGCCATGCAGGGCGTTGCAGCCACATCAGGCAGCTGCCCCTAACCCTGACCGATTGCTGCTGCAGCTGGTGCCCAAGTTCTGCGAGTACTGGTACGAGCAGGTGCTGCGGGAGGGGGCCTCTTCCCTGGACAGCGGCACCGTCAGCCTGCAGCTCTCCGACTCCTTCAGCCTCTTCGAGCTCATTGAGCAGTGCACCATGCAGATGGACTGACCCCCCCACCCACTCCTCTTGCTGTGGCCTCCCCCAAAACAGGCTCCAGCCTGGGAGGGGGCACCAGGGCTTGTGCAAACCAGTGTCCCCCATGGAATGCCATAGTGGGATGCCTACGGTGGGGAACATTTCCTCCTCCACTCCTCCCAACCCAAGGGCAGCTTCACTGGCCTGTCGTGAAGCTGACATGTCGCTTTTCCCCTCTGTCAGCTGCTAACGTGTTTTTGTGGAGCGCCATCATTTACAGATGTTTTCTTAAGTTTTTTAAGTTTAAATATATACATACATATGTACATAAATATAGAAAGGTGGTTCCCGCTTGCTGATGTTGCCCAGACATCTGACCCCACTGTCCGGGCCAAGACCTTCACCATCCCACACCCCAAAACCATGGGGGTGCACAGCCAGCCTTGTCCTGTCAAAGCCCCTGCTGGCAGTGGGCTCACGTTTGGACTTTCTCCCCCTTACATCTCTGTAAATGAGAGGACTTCCCCTACATGAAGGAATGCATTTATTGACGTATTTATTTCTATGCATTAAGGCTGCAAACATGACTTGCAAGCAAAGCATGTTGAGGGTAGCTTGGCTTTGGCTAAACAAACAAACAAACAAAATCCTTCTTTCTTTGGTGAGCGCCTCCCTGCTGGCCCAGAGTTACTCACTTGAGATGTTCTGGAAAAATAAGGCAGTAACTACAACACAAAGCACCCAGAACTCAGCTCTGAGGAGCAGAGGTGATGGTGGTAGCCCAGGGAGGAGCGTGGCAGCCACAGCACTGCCCAGCGATGGGGCTGGCAGCAGCTGCACCCACTCATTTCAGGAGAGGGGAGAGGAGGAGCCATCAGTGCTGGACCCTGGGCAAGGGGAGGTTGCAGCCTCCTTACCTGCTGACTGATGTGGATGCTGCTGGGCCCGAAGGTGGTGGTCCCATAGCTTGTCACATAATAGTGAAAAGAGAGCTGTGCTGGGGGCACCTCCAACTGCCTGGGCACTGTGGGGATGGGAGGGCCACCATCAGCATCTCAACTCCCTGAAACCTTCAGCCCTCTTCCCCTGAGCACCATTGTGGCACAAATCCAGGACCATTTGGCTCACCTTTGGGCAGGAGCAGCTCTGCGCCAAAGCGGTGCCCACAGGTCCCACAGGTTTTAACGTCTTCATTTGTCCTGTGAAGGAAAAAGTTCCAAGAAGGAGGAGGAACAGGAGCTGCTCTCAGCACTTCCCATCAAAGACAGTGCCAAGGTGATGGAAGAGGCTCCTTCTTTTCACCCTGATCAGAGGTCCCACCATCACTGGGAGGGCTGCTGCCTTCCCAGGTGCCTGAGCACCTCCAGCTCTTCCCAAAATGGGGGCTATGTGGGGACATTATGTGCCTGAGCCCACGTCTCGACTTTTTCACCTTTCTTTCCATGCTTAATCTCCCATGCAAAATAAACGCTAACAGCATGTGGGACATGGGCTGCGATGGTCAGGAGGGCAGTGTCGTGCCTGGCAAGTTTTGCAACTAATTTCCCATGGCTTTTAGAAGCTGGCCAGCCCCATCAGCACTGCATGAGCAGCCACCTGGCTCTAGCCCTCGACGCACACGTACGTGGCATTTGCACCATCCACGTCTGGCCAGATGAGCTCTGCAGGACAGCCGGCTGTTCGGCAGGGGGTCTTCACGCACACGTGCAGCCCCGGCCAGGCCTCAGCGAGCTTGTGGATGATGAACACAACTGCCAGGAGGAAGTCCCAGGCAAACCGGAAACCTTTCAGGCAAAAGGAGGAGATCTTGCTTGCAGCCACCCAACCACAGCAGCCCAGGAGGTGCTGTGGTGATGCACACATTGCATCCAGCCTGCCAGACCACAGCCAGAACAGTTGGGCCAGCTTCATTTCTCAAATTAACCAAGGCCCATCAGCCTTCAAGGGGGATTTAAAAATATGCTGTAAGAGCTCCCCAAGTTGAATGGCCCTTATGCATATCACTTGGAGATCCAGCCTGAGACTGTGCTCTGCTGGGACCTTATGGAGAAGGATGCCCCATTTACTCCCTGAGGAGACTGCAAAAATTTACTTTCCACTTTCATGTGATACCTTCAGAGAATCATGACCAGGTTGCACAGAGAAAGTGGAAATCTTTCTTTAATTAAACTGCTGGTGGACCCTGGCCAGACGAGAGCATGTGGCAGACTTCTGGGATGTTCTGCCCAGAGGGGTGAAGGTGGTGGATGGGCAGAGGGGACCTGAGAGACAAGTGGTTGAGAGTCAGGAAAGAAGGATCAGAGATCCTTACCTGTCCTTTCTGATGGCTTTCTGCACCGGAGCTCCAGGTAGCTGTAGGCCCTCTGGTTATTCTCTTTGATCAGCAGAGGTTTGCCATTACATATGAGCAGGCAGGTCGCTTTGGCCACCCAGTGTGTGGAGTAGAAGGAGCAAGTTTTCACCAGGAACCTGCATGGAGATTGCCCACAGCTTTCACCACCCTCATGCCCGCGTATCTCTAGCACTGGGAGACAGTGTTAGAGCACCAGGTGGACTTGACAAATATGAACCAACTTTCATATGCCCTACTGAAACCTCAAGCAGCAGAAGCAGCCCCCAAAGCCAAGAACCGCTTCCAGAGTTGGCCATTAGATAGCACCCTGGACACAAGTCAAGAACCCTCAGAAGACAGGAGACCTTCCACAAACTGGAACAGTCCCAGCAGCTGTAGAAACTGGACCATCCTCAGGTGGCCTGGAAGACCTGTGATTGCCTGGATGGGCACAGATGAGCCAATAGACCACCCCCGAGGAAAGGTGAACCAGAAAGAGCATGGTCCTTGCTCACATTCAGGCAGTAACAGTGAAATGGTTCATCCAGGGCTCCACATGTCTGTGGCAGAGCTGAGAAGCCACCCTGGTCTCCTGAGTGCCAGGAGATGCCTCAGCTGATTCGGTCTCAACAGCCAAGAGCTTGCTGACAGTTGTACCCCAAACTGCGCAACCTCAGAGGGCTGGAAACCTCTGCTTACCGCTGGAAGAAACCCTCAGGTATCTCAGGTGAGAAGTAGCCGCGGATGTGGAGGTCCTCAGGGTGATCTCCTCCCCACACCTCAGACACCTCTTCAGTCTGGTTCAGATAGGTTGGGAACAAATACCAGGAATCGCCTTGGCCCCGTTTTGTCTCCCATGGCTTTCCGGGCACAAACTCACTGGCCTGTGGGTTGAGCGCTTCGGCTTGCCTCACCTCCAGGCAGAGCTCAAAGTGCTCCAGGAGGCTGAAGAGCTTCCCTCTCCCTCTGTGGGGCCTGTGCCCCATGATTTCCTCAAACATGTCCTGCATCCCTTCCAAACAGAGCTGGTGCTTCACCAACGCACGCACGGCCTGGTGGCACAGCATTGCCTTTGACTTGAAGGTCCACACCCAGTTGGACCTGTCCCTGATAGTGGCATGCTCCCCAATCAATGTGTCCACAGAGATGCTCTCGAGCTGCTGGACAAGGCGGTACCTCACAAGGAGCTGGGTGGGAAGAGGAGAGAAGAGGCAGCAATGAGATGAGCCCAGCAAAGCTGCAGAGCCTGGGCCCTGCAGAGAAAGTTGTCCTGATCCCCCTGCTCACCTTGAACATAGTTATCAGGAAGGTAGGCTGGAGAAAAACAGTGCTTTCCAGGTGCTCGATTTCCTCATACCACACAACAAGCCCGACGCGGTGCAGGTACCGCAAGATGTCCTGGAGAAGCTCTCTGCCCAGGTTGGACAGGTGCTCATGCTGGGAGAGTTTGCTGAGTAGGTACTGCAGGTCCATCATGCCTACAGGGAGATGCAGGAGCTCAGCACACATCTCTTGGACACCGGCATTTCAAGGCAGATGCTTCAGAGAGCCAACAAACACCCCCAGTTTCCAACATCAGCCTTGCCATCCCTGGGGATGCAGCTAGGACCAGCATGATGCTTGGTAACTGTGGCCCAAAACGCTTTGCCCACCCTCAGCTGTCCCACTGCCACCTCACAGCTCCCATAGTCTTGCCTTGCCTCAGTGGTGCCAACAGCCTGCCAGGACCTCAATGAAGCATCGGAAAAATGAGGCTAATACTGACTTTTTCCATTGTTTGACAAAGTGTGTTTGTTTCCAGCCAGAAAACCTCAGATTGCTAGTTAAACCTCAGATCGTTGGTTAGTCATGCAGCAAGACAGACAACAAAACCTGGCTTATCTCCACAAACAAAACCCATTTGTTCCTCATCCTCTAATCATACAGTGGCCAGGGCAGCCAGAGACGTCTCCGGGTGCTGGTGGTGGTCATACCTGCTCTAGGTATGTGAGCGAGGAGCTGGGACTGCCTGCCAGTCCCGCTAAGTCACGTGTGACACAGCGAAGGGGCTGGGGAATTGTAGGGGGTCATTAAATAAGTTTAGGAGGGCATAGGCTTGGAAACCACACAGAAGCATTAAAGCTGTGGAGCTCCTTCCTACAAGATTTTTTTAAATTGCTTATACAGGGCAAAGGGGAGAAAGAACATTCCTGGAAAGCAAGACCAGACAACGTGGCCAAAGTGGGGTACTTCCAGCCCCAGGCTGGTTGTTGTTAGCAGAGCCTCCTGGTGAAGACACACTTGGCCTTTTCCCATGCTTTTCCTAGGCACTTGTCTTGGGAGCAGATGCTTATAATGACAGAGCTGGGTAGTAGCAATTAATGCTCCAGCAATAACCACGTGGTCCTCAGCAGCGACCTCCACGTGCGCAGGGCCAGAAGGTGCAGCAAGCACGAGAGAGCCTGTCCCAGCTGCAGGACAGCAGGTGCTCCGGGAGGCACGGCAGGGGTGACGGCCGCTCACCATGGCCTGCCATCTCCTCGCTCTGTGCGATATCCACGATGGCTCCTTCCACCTGCCTGTAGACGGGGGGCAGCACTCGAGTGACCTCGGGGAAGAGTTCCTCGTTCTTCACATGCTTCAGAATAGCAGCCTCAAGTTTTTTGATGTCATGGTGATCCGTGCAGTTGACAGCAACTACGTTTAAGATCTGGAAGAGACAAAGCACACACCTGCCAAAAGCACCCAGAGAAGTCTTTTAGCCTGAAAAGTAAAGGAGGGACCTAATGCCAAGGAGGTCCCCAAGGATGGCACATACCGCTGGCTCGGCTTCAGAGGGCACTTCCTTCACATCTTGCTCTAGAGCAGCTCCCAGAAAACCACCTGGGGATGGTAAATGCCCCCTCACGCTCCTCCCCAGGCACTTGTTACAAGCCACAGAAGATGCCCATAACCGAACAGGGACAAGGACCCACCAGGTCACAGCCAGAGGTTACCACGTCCACCCCAGCCCCAGGGAGCAGCTGCAGTAGCAGCATTAGCACCAGACCCCCATCATCAGTAGCACGCTGGGCTGCCAGAGACAACAGGGTGACCACAGACAGCAAGGAACCACAATAATCTCAGCCCTACGGTCAACGTGCAGCTCTCCATCTCCTTCAGCCTCTCCCACTGGTCCACGTAAAACTCAGGCTCCTCGCTGCCCTCCAGGTTGTCGATGAAGTGAGCAAGGTTGCTTTTTCTCTCTGCCATCATGGCTGTTATCTTGGCCATGATGTCTCGCCTCTTCTCCTCCACCTCCTCCTCCTGGCAGCAATCCACATGCGTTCCCACAGGAAGCACCACTGAGTTTGGGACTCGCATGGACAGATTGTTGATCCAGAAACCGACAAGCTCTTTGAAAGTCTTGTCATTAGTTTGGTACCTGGGGAGGGAGAAAAAGAAAAAATCCCAAATTTGCGCCTAACCCACTGGATCTCAAGCCAACTTCCACCAGGACAAGCCTGGCCATGCACCCTGTGCTGCCTCTGGGCCTTACTGGAGAAGAGCTCAGCCCTCCTAAGCTGCCATGGGCTGCATCCAACTCATCCTCAAGTTTTCTATCCTTAAGCTAAGCCAGTTAAAGCCATGAGGTATAGCAAAGTCTGTCTCTGCTATGCATGAGAGCTTCCCTCTGTACCACAAAGCTCCACATTCAGGGAGCACCACAAGATACAGAAGGGCTTGTAAAAGTATTTCCAAGGCAGAAAGCAAAGCTGTTTAGATGGGGATCAATTGTCACATCAGGAGTAAATGTTCATCTAGCGCCTCAGAGAGGACTTTGGTAAGGTGATGACAGATCTAGTGGTTAATTAAAGAGTGATCTGCAAAAAGGGGAAGAGGGAGAGCTAGCTACTCCAGTGGTGAGAAGACCAGACATCAATGGAAATGGTGTGAACCCACGCAGAGGAAAGCTTCCCCAGCCCCTTTGTTCTTCTCCCACTTCACTTTGAATCCAAACCAGCTCAACACTTACATGTGCAGATTGATGACAAGGATGACAAGTGCCTGGGGGGTGATGAACACGTGGTGAGTCATGTAGTACTCCAGCTGACCAGCGAAATCCCAGAAGAGAAACGTGAAGTCCTCAATCCTGAACTCGCTGATCTCTATCCCAACTGTTCGCTCTTCCTTGGGCACCAGTTTGGTTTGCCCTTGCTTCAGGCTTTTGCAGATGGTAGACTTCCCTGCCAGCGAGGCCCCCAGGAACATGGTCTTGACCCTCTTGTCCTCCTGCCCCGCACCACTCTGGAGCTGGTTGAAGTAATTCCGGATCTGCCGGATGCCCCCAGCGCACACTTCACTGGGCGGCTCCCGGAGAGGGTTCCCATTGGCCTTGAATGTTTTCAGGGATTGCCCCTGGAAGAGCTCCTTGGGGAGCTGGCGAAGGGCATTATTCTGCACATGTAGCTCCTGTAGCTGTGCCAGCTGCAGGACCGGCTGGGGGAAGGTCCGGAACAAGTTGTTGGAGATGTTGAGGTACTGGAGGCTGCCTCGACAAGCTGCCAGGTCCCTGGGGAGGGCACCGAGGTGGTTGTTGTTCAGCCGCAGGTGTTTAAGCCTAGAGAGATGAGAGAAAACCCCCTCTGGGATGACTCTGATTTGGTTCTGATTCAGCTCAAGCCTCTCTAAACAGACCAGGCTCTGGATTTCACTGGGAAAGTCCACAATCTCATTCTTGGACAGTATCAGCTTCTTCAGGTTGCAAAGCTTAGAAATGCCAGTGACGTTCCTGAGCTTGTTCCTGTCGAGGTCAAGGATTTCCAGCCTGGGGTTGTTCAGGACTGCTGGAGGCAGCACACGCAGCCTCTGGATAGACAGAACCACTTCACGCAAACCATCCTCCTGCTCCTGACCTGGACACGTGGGACAGGGAAAGTGGTTAAGAAAGACTTCAATCCTTTGGGCGGCAGACAATTTTTTCCCTTGAGCTCTGCGTGACTTTGGGATCATTTCAGCCAGCAAGAAAAAGCAGAGCCAAAATACAGGAACTGGTTGAACAGCGTGACCACAGTTGCTGCTTGAGCAGCTCCCGTGTTCTATCTCAAGAGAGGAACCAAAGTCAAGACACAAGGATCTTGGCTAGGCCTGAAGACACAGGAAGAAACTGTGCCCACCAGACATTGACCTGTAGCCCAAGTGTCACGTTAACTACTTTGCTCTCACTAAAGCACCATGAGAGCTCCAGCTGCAGATGCATCTACCCTGAAACTGGCAGGTTTCTAATCCCAGCAGTGGGCTGGCAGGGCAGAGCCAACATCAGGATGAGAGCTGCTCTGCAGACAACTCGCCCAGCCCACTCTCAGCGCTCAACCACAGCTAGGGAATGCGTTGAGGCCAGGGCTAGCAAGTTCAGACACTTCCTCTCTCGCATCTTCCCTCTGCTCCAGATGCACGCTACAATTCCCTGCAGAGATGCTCTCAGGCCCAGGAGATGGGGGGAATAATGCAGGGACAGTGGGGTTCCCTGCAGGGCAGTGCACGCAAGGGACTGGTGATGGTCAGGAACATTCCCAAAAGGAGGGTGTTTAAAGCAGAGAGGTTTGCAGGCAAGAAGAGCACCAGGGGGATGTGGATCACACAATACTAGAACAAAACATGGTCAGAATTTGCTTTCCTCTCCTTTGTTTCACTTCCTCACCAGATGCCACCAAGCATGGCATCCCTTTGCGTAAGGCACCCTGCTCCGCACCCACTCACTGCCGGTTCTCAGAATCACCACCTAAGCCTGGAATGTGCAGTGGGCCCAGCAGGAAAGCAAGCTTCACCCTCTGCCAAACGCCTGGTCTCTCCTCCGGCACCATCAGAGACAAGCCAAAGGGCTCCCACCACCACTCTGCACCAACGCAGCAAAGAATCAGGGCAGCTACTCACAGGCTCTGGGCTGGGCCATGCCCCTGCAGCGTGGCACTGTCTGGATCCTCCCAGCGGCTCAGCCTCTCCCTTTCGTTTCCTCCTCTCTTTTTTGCTCCCCGCCTCCTGGAGCACTGCCTGGGAACCCCACCCTCTCTTTCTCCATCCATGCACCCTCAGAGCAGCTCCCAGCAACCCAAGCACCTCTAGCCAGATACCAGGGCCATGGGTACGTCCCAAAAGCAGCTCTGGATGGCACCTGCAAGACAAAGATGGTGGCAGGTCCAAGTCAACTTCTCACAGCAGCATCCCTACCTTTGCTAAAGGAGCTTTTAGTGCTATCACTGCTGCAGAGGAGGGAAAGGACACTAATATGGGGTTACGCTACTACCAAACTACTGCATGTGCTGCATAAGTAAGATTTCTTTCCTTAAGCAGCTGGCAGCATCTGACCCAAGAGGGTCAACCAGAAAGTAAAAAGAAAACAAAACCCACCAACAAAAAAACCCCACGGTAGTGGTACTGGAACAACTCTTTTCTAGAACATGCCTTAAGAGGCATTTTTAGGTATGTTTCTCATTGGCTCTCCGAGGGGGCAGCTTACAATTTGATGGCTTTATTTTTAATGATAGACAGAATGAAAGAACCAGTACTCCTGTTCACGTAACTCCAGGGGAAAGCATGTGCAGGAGGTGTAGTTTTCAGCTTCACTGCTCCACCAGGCAACGGCGGGTGCAGAAGTAACTGAAATTTCAGTTGCAGCAGGCTGTTTTCATTACTGCTAATTCATGGGTAACACCAACCAAGAATTTAAAGCAAGGAATCATCTGAGAAACAAAACAGACTGACATTGTCTCCCTGGTCAACAGAATAGCTGCTTCTATTGTCTGCTCAAGCTTTGTTTTCACACCACCTCACGCAGGCAGGTGAATCCAGGACTGCTCCTCTGATACATCCGAAGATGCCCGATTTCCAGCCCAGGTGTATTCACCAGATCACGCTCTCTCATTCTTGTGCCAGCTTGTGCCAAAAGTTTCTGAACTTTATTTTGTTAAGCAATCTATTAACAGTGTACTTATAACCCATACCCATCAGCTAAGTATATATTATAGCTACAAGTCTAGCTTTAAAACTAAAGCTTCTCTTCCAGCTACTCTTCTGCAGTCTCAGTGAGCCTTTGTTCCAAAATCTTCAAAGCAAGCCCAAAGTTACCAATCCCTTAGACTCCATTCAGGCTGCACTTGCATACAGGGAGCAAACAGAGCCAAGAATATCAACTCCAAAATGCTCAGGGCTCATCCACAAACACTTAGGTGGGATGGCGAATGATGGGAATTCAGCGTTTTGCCAGTTCAGACAGTACTGGTACATGGGCTTGTTCTGTTTAAAAAGTAAAATGAAACAACGCCCCCAAACCAGCTACTTGGGAACACAGCCAAAATTACACAACGCAGACCAAAATGTTATGATCAAAATCAGAGTTCACTGAAAAGCCAAGAACACCAGCAGAGGATCAAAGGTGTTGCCACTGGTCAGTTTTCCTATGCTTCACCAGGGGAAAAAAAATAAATTAAAAGAGCACTACAGTTATTTGCTTTATAAAACTCATTCCAGAGAGCCTAACTGTTTTCTCTTTGAAGACAAGCAGCAAGACTCCTCAAAGAGGGCAGTTTTCAAGTGTGCTCCAAGAGGTTAGAAAAGCCCTCATCTGAGACACGTTGCTGCCATCGGGTCCAACAGGCCACATACATTCAGTTCCTACTGAAGGGAAAACCAGTTTCTATGTTGTAACTGACTGGTTTTCTCTTCAGCTTCCCTGTTAAATGTCTTCTCCTTAGCACAGTTAGACGGGGCATGACGCTTTTTGTCAGGTCTGAGGGTGCTGAATATATTTGTGACTGTATTTCAGATGATCACTTGAAAAATGAGTTGCTCTGCAGTACACACAGACAAGGAGTGCTTTTCAAGGATGAAGTCAGTACAGACGCTGGACTCCTTTGCTTCTTGGTAGGAAAAGCAGGCCTCCTACAGAGGAGAGGGAACAATTACTGATCCAGCTCCAATCCTCTTCTAGAAATACAGTCTTCCTTATGCAAGAGCCAAGCATGCAGGTTTACACAGAAAAGCCAGGGCAAGAGGCAGCTGTAAGACAAACAAATGACACCTGCTGTAGGACTAAAACCATTCAAAATAACTTTATAAATTCTGTCACATTTCTGCTCTGTACATCAGTTCAACCTTAGCCCTCCAGCTTGCTACCGAAAATTCACAACACTTGCTTTTTGTTTCGTTTTTTCCTGAAAGGCAGACACAAAACTAGCCATCAGTGCATTATTTACAGAAGTGCAACACAGTCTCCCGCCCTGAAATGAAACTTTTCACTAACGAGATACTTCCAACAGAACGTAAACAGACACCACAGCTTGAGCAGTGTTTCTGAAGTCAGTTTATAAAGGTCAGCCCATTTCTGCAATCCCCAAATGACAGAGCGAGTAAAGCTTCGCTCACCATCGAACAGGCTAAAAATACATTTCAAGTATTAAATCAGAAGTTTCTAAAGACAACCCATATTCTGAAAAAGAAACACAAGGAAAACAGTATACAGCTCTCAACATACTGTATAGGAAAAGTGGTGTCCAGTTTCAAACTTTTAGCAAGACAGGTGCACAGCCCAAAAACGTGTTCAAAGTAACCCTGAAAACTGTAGCAATCCGGGAGTCCCAAACATTAATCTCTTCTGTGTTTCCTCTCAAATTACTCTGCTGGTCTGAGGCATCTGATTGTTACTTAGTTCTACATCTGTAGGTAATAAAAAAAAAAAACAACCCCAAGTTCATTCCCCTATGGAAACAATTCAAAAGAAGGCTCCGCAGGTAAGTCCTGCTGTAATTTTGCTTCTCTGCACTGTACTTTCAATGAGATGCAACTGCTGTTCTGCTATTCCCTCCAGCACAGCATTCGCAGCCAGAACAAATTCAGTCCAAGTCCTGCTGGTTGTGGCTTGCTCTCAGTTTTCCACTTCCCGTGTATCTTCGCCATCTGATTTCTTATGTTTCCTCATATGTTTGTATTTTTCCACATATGCCTTCACCAGATTAGCTACCTTCATAGGGTTGATCTCTCCACTTTTGCTGTGGCAGATCTACAAGAGATTCGAAAAAGCATTCGGTCAACTAACAGCATTACAGCAGTTCAGGAGGGTAACAGACAAGTTATACAGAAGCTTCCCAGAAGAACCGATTCCTGCATAGGCCCTTGAGTCTCATAGCAGGATACATAAGGCAGAAAACTCAACGAGGACAAGAGTAGTATTTTACTTCAAGCACTCCAGAAATGGCCCAGGTCTTATCTACTGAGCACCAACTGAACGCAGAAGAATCTCTGAAAGCAGAATTATTCATTTTTACACTACAGACTTCTGTCCAGCCAGTTTTGCACAATACACAGTCACCAAGGAAGTGCTGATTTCCCATTTTTCTGATGATTTTGAGGAAGTGATGCTGTGATTAAAAGAACCTGGCAGTTTTGAGGGCCCATTTTGAGATATGGGAGAAAGAGAACAGACCCTACAAAGAACTTTATCAGTGTTCAGAGAAGAGCAACAGAGAAGAGTTGACTTCAGCAACAATTCGTGTTGCTCAGCTTTCCTACAAACCACACTTGGGGTTCATACGGGTCATGTAGAAGATGTGAAATTGCAGCCATTATCTCAGGAATTCTGATTTATGATAGAATTTCTCAGTGATAGCAAGAATGCAAAGCAGGGAGAGACTAGCTCTCCAGGGTATCATTTAACTGCCTTGACCACAGGAGCATTACTTGCTCTCACAAGACAACATTTACCTGCTGATCAGGCCTTTTTTAGCCATAATCTGGTCAGCACTAAGATTTGAGACAAAAGTCAACATCAGCCACATTGCAAGGCCCTCTTCCAAAGTTCAGGGACACCACAGATGGTCAACGAATTAAGGTACAAAGTATTTTCTCACTTTATCAGAAACAGCTTGACGATTCTGGCTGGAGTTCTTAACGAGATTTGACCACTCTCGCCCAAGGCACGGACAGTGTAACATTTTGGCTCAGGCAGCTTAAGCTTAGAAATGTTCCAGACCACTGAAAACACAATCTTCTAGACAGAACAGCCTGGCAGCTCTCATCGATAGCACCACTCAGTCCTGCTTAGAGCAACTACTCCTTCACCGCAAGACTGCAGAGCATGAGTCAGAGTCCAACGACCTGCTACTCAGTTACCAATGCAATTACTAAAGCTGGCAAGTGCAAGCCAAAGTACTGCCACTTAATGATCTGCACAGCTCCTCTGCTTCATTTCACTGTCCCCTTACCTTTTGCACTGCTTTTCGAAGAATGTTCTTGTATTCCTCCTTTGTTATCTCCCTCTTCTGGTAAAAAGGTTTAATAGCAAGTTTCACTTCTTCCACAGCCCTTTCCTGCATGTGAAGCTTCTTCATGTACTGCACAGCAAAAAGAAGTTCATTACTTTGTGCTGTCTTGGCACTGGTTTCTAAATGTATTTTTCTTAGAAATGGTCTAACAATGAAGGTAGTAATTTTACAGTTTCAACGACCCACGTAAGAGCGAGCCTCAGAGTGATTTCCTTTACTGCAAACTGCAGTCTCGAAACAAGTTCGTGCTACGAGGAACCCTTGTTTTATGTAACATTGATTCTATGTCTCAGAGAATGTGTTTTAAGCAAGTGACTACAATGCCCACTTCTTAATTTTGGTCTCGTTCCTCTCCAACAGCTCTGAAGGAAACATACATCCCTCAAAAGGCATTGGATTCTAAAAGCAACAAGTCATATACACAAGCAACAAGTGAATATAAAGCTTCAGGCAGTTCTAAAGGCATTCTGAAAACTGCAGAGCTGCCTATAAATCAGGGGTTACAGATGACATCCCAACATATTCCACCAAAATGAGTTCATAAAAACTGCTGCTCATAAATGGAGGTTCAGTGGGGGAAAGCATCTCACTGCTCTGGTTTGTGGTAGAACACAAAATAATTGGCTAAGAAATTTTT